GGAGCCCTGGTCCTAATTTTGAGCATCACTTTTAGGCTCCAGTAAAGAACCTTCAATGTACGAAGACAGATCCTTCAGCCTGCTAGCATAAACTTTCTAGCCCAGATTCATGAAATAGACTTACAAGAGTTATTGCCACGGGCTCTAGGTCTCCAGTTGTCCAGGAGACATTATCATGGGCTGTGGGTCTTCAGCTGAACTCATGCAATATATTGCCATGGGATCTAGGCCCTCAGCTATATTCTCTAGTGCTTTAATGTGTAGACAGATTTCCTGTATTTCTTGTATTTGACTCTCTAGGTGACTAACATATAATACTACTATAAGTTGTGTGTTTTGTATTTTTTTCATTATCTTTGCATATCCTTAACTCTATAACCCACTAACACAAATACTATATGGATGACAGGGCTCTTAGATTGAAGCAACACCCACTTATGAAACTGAAGATGCAAACCTAAGTATGAAGGCCCATGTGCTACCAGGAAACAGATAAACTGTGGTTGAATCCTTCTGTAGATGGCACACTGAACTGTTCTCATAACTGGTGCTATGATTTATGGATCCTGGACTATATGAGAAACACAGTCATGCATTTTAAGTGATTATTTCCAGACTTTTATTCTGTCCCTCATCCTCCAAATTTTTATGTTTTAATATATTCAAAATATACCCTGCCAGAAAGTAGGATAAGGTTTTAGTATAAATGAAATTAATCTAATTTTTCATCAAGCATAAGATACTTAAATCTCTCTTAGCTAAATTAGGGAGATAAATACTAAATTTGAAGAAATAATAAATGACATAGAAAAACACTGTGCAAACTCAAGTGGCTTTGAAGTAGGTCTTCTCTTTTAAACATTTTTATAAATGTATGTTTCACATTTCTTTAATTACTTAGATACTACCAAAAAGTCACATTTGTTTTCTGTATCAACACTAAGTGCTTATAAATACATATAAATTTTTGACATATTTCCTTTATAATTTACTATACATATATCATGTATTTATGAGTAAAACCTTCCTTGACACTTCTGAGTATTTTAAACTGAAATTAGAGACCAGAAAAAATAAAATACAGACTTCTATGCAATAATAAGTATCATTATGAAAATTTCCAATTATTTATAAAATATCAAATATGCCCTGAGGAAAAAAGAGAAATTCTAACATTTATGGGTAAAAAGTTGTATGGAAGTAGAAATATCTAAAACTAGAATTAAATAAACATTGATATTTTCAGAAATGATATTCAATTTCCTCCCTTCTGCTCGGTATAGAACAACAGAAATCTCATTTAACTTATCAGGAATGACTAAAAGAAAAACGGAAAACATATTTAAATACAAATCTTAACATATTGAACATCAGAGAACTTTCTCTGAAATACAAGAATTTACTGATGTGATCTGTAGACCTCCAGTTTACTCGAGAGACCTAAGGAAGGACTGAAAAACCAAACATCTATCAAAGTGAGGGGATAGAGATGGGGCAAGTTATGCTGCAAAAGTAGAACAGAGTACCATAGAGAGAGGAATATGGTAAAGAACTCTGGGGATAAATAAGAAATATTTTTACCATCACTCAGTTATTCAAGTGCATGTTGATCAGTAAAGGCATTTGAGAAAATGTAGCCAATGTATGAGGCAGGGTGATTACTTACGAATAGTAACAAAAGCGGTCACCAGAATTCACAGACAAAACCCAGAATATTTCCTTTTCCCTAAAATTAGAAAATAAAAACTCATAAATTAGGTAGTGCTAATTTCAGTAATAAAAACTGATTTTGGAATTTCAGTCATAAAACAAACAATAAACAAACAACAACAACAAAAACGCTCCATGTAGCAATCAGTGTTTGCAGGAGCTTGCAAGGCTGGAACGAGGCTCCTCAAATGACTGCTCAAGCTCTAAATCAGATTTCATGCAGGGCACAGAAATTACAAGATTAGCTAAAAATATCTGCCCAGAATCAAATGTAGAAGAGTGTGTAATAGCTCTCTGCTTGCTGGACAGCCAATGCAGTCAGTTAAAGTCCTGGAGCCCAGAACAGTGTCCTGCACGAGTCCGCATCAGTGGACCGAGGAATCTGTGTTGGAAGACCCAAGGATCTGCTTCAGCAAGCCCAAGGTTTGGCACTGGAAGCTAGTTTTGGTCAGAAAATATGGTACATAAAATTGGTACACAACACCTGAATCACATTGTATTTTCCAAATTATGGGAAAGTAATTCTTTTTAAAATTAGGTGGAAAATGTGTCAAGATAAAATCTAAATATGACGTTGATTTCTACTTTTCCATTAACATAATGAGAAAGTAAATCCTTGACAAGCGTTCTGATATACTGAGGAATAAGTGAGCCCCCAACTGTGTAATTTATGTCCTTTTCAAATGTTATTCTGGGGTTGAAACAGCCTATTTGAAGCTGCAAATTGACAGCTGATAGATTCCTTTCTACAAAAGCTTTATGTTTGAGAAAATAGAAATGAAAAACCTTCCTAAGAATAAACAAAATAATATATTAATTTTTATTTTTTTTTATTCTTTAGCATAATTTACTTTTCAAATTCCACTCTGATGTCATCTTGTAAAATCAACTGAAAAACTGACTAAAATTGAATCCAGCTTGGTATTAGATATCTAAGTATTAATTATAAAACATACTCACATAATTCATATGCATAAATGGGTAATGTGAAAATGGTATTCTTCATATATAAAATGTATTATAAAATTTTACATTCTGTGATACTTATTTGGAATAAAATACTTCCAAAACATTAACATAATGTAAATACCAGTGTCCAACATAGCAAATAACACATTTCCACACTATCATACATAAATTACTTACTTCAGTAAAATTTTATCAATATGAACGAAAAATAACTAACAGGATATATCTCTATAGAAACATAAACTTTGAAAGTAAGTCCATAAAAGTAAGGTAAATTATTAAAAAAAAAAACTAATGTTTTGAAAATATAAGCTTTAAAATATATACATATTTTATGTTTCATTTATGTCAACTTTAAACTAATAGTTCTCACACAAAACCACAAAGGTAACTGGACTGTTCAGTCCATTCACAATCTTGATGTTAGAGCTGGAAGAAGGTTGCTTAAAAAGTGGAATGACTTACCTATTGACTTAATTTTTAAAATCCTAAACAGCATTATCAAAATATTAAAAAGGTGTGGTGGTTCCATAGTAATGATACACTCCTGCCTTTTGAGTTCATTGACATAGGATTTGAAGCACCTAACATATGATGTGAAGCTGCTGTTCTCACCTATGACAGGTGAGCTACCCTTGTGATAGGTTTTGACCATGGAACATGACAGCCTTAATGTTCTGCTTCTTAACTTGGGCCTCCAGGAGACTTCTGCCTTCCATACTTTCTCAGGTTCTCTATTTACACCATAAGCAAAGCTCTGGACTAGCTTTCTAACTCTCTAGAAAGATAATGTGAAGATAAGCCAAAGTCACCTGCTTCATTCAGGTCAACTCTACTCATATAAAGACGTTTAACTAGTATAACAAAATCACCAGTTAATTACCAGTTAAAGAAAGATAGATGAATGCATTTAAATAAACTCAGCTGTCATGGTTTATGTCTGTGGCTCTCAAGCCTCATGCATATGCATTGAGCATTTGTGATTGGTTCATGGTCTAGAGTTTGGATTGGGGGTGTGAGTGCTACACTGGCCTAGGGGTGAAGCCAGGATGTAATGTAATGGCAGGAAGAAGGTGTGTCTTGCTCTTTTGTTGGTTTCTGCCTTGCTCTTTGCAGCCCCCATGAACCCCAGCCCAGCCTGCCTCCCTACTTTGGAGCTAACTAAGAATAGACTGAAACCTCCAAAAACTGTAAGAAATAAACCTTTCCTTTCCCAACTTTGGGCTTCAGGTATTTTTGTCTCAGCGACCAGTAAAAAGTGACTAAGACACCAGCATAGATCAAAAAGAAGAGCTAATCTAATAATAGACTCATGAACAGTTACTGTGATAGCCAGTTTTACAGAAATTAACATTTGTTTTTTTCTTTTTGTATTGAGATGAAGTATACACCGCACAGAATTAACCATAAACCATTTGAGTCGCATTTAACCTATGCAGTTGTATTAAGTATATTCACAGTTTTCCCTCCATCCTTGTAGAACATTATTAACCTTCTGAACTGAAGCTCTGTAATGACTAAACATTCACCCCTAAAACACCCTCCTCACATCTGTAGCATCTGTTCTACAATCAGTGTAAAAATTCAGCTGTCATATATGTCATATATATGTTGAACTATGTACTTTTTCTATGCATCTAAATTATTTTATTAAATGTATATTTTCATGATTTAGCCTTGTGACTTATGTAAAAATCCCATTCCTTTTAAGTATGTATAATATTGTATTTGTATATTTCACATTTTATAATTCATTCACTGGTAGACTGACACTGGTCTGTATCGATATTATGGTTATTAGGATAATGATGCAATAGGTACTGGTGTATAATTATCTGTTTCAAATGCTGTTTTCAATTATTTTGGTTTTATACTAAAAAGTGGAATACTATTGAATTATATAGCAAGTTAAAACTTCTTTTAGAAGGAACTGCCATACAATTTCCCATAAGGGCTGAATTGATTTTGGTTCTCAACATTGACATTTTAGCATTCCAGTTTCTTATCCACCCTTAACAACAATTTTCATGTTTGTTCATGAATTTATATTACAGAATCCAGTGTAACAGGTGTTTTTAAATTTAGTAAGACTAAGCTTGCTTTACAGTCTACCTGGGGAAAGTTCCTTGTTTTACAGTCTACTGGGAGAAGGGAACATTTGTTCTTGGATAGAGTATTTGATATGTCTAGTGGTTTACTATCTTCAAGTATATTATTTCCTTATTAGCTTTCTACATTTTTATCTTGCTGGCACATGTTTTATTCAAACTAATGAGGCACATCAGAGTGACAGGTAGAGAAAGTAAAAATTGCAAAATACATAGATTAATACCATTTATTAAATACAAGTGGACAAGTAAAATTTCCTGCCAAGATTATTTTACACCAACAATGTAAATTGCTTAAGGAATAAGAAGAACTGGAATTCAAATTGCTAGTAGAGATAAATCGTTTCCTTATAGATGTCTTGAATATGATGATAGAGTTCATGACTGGAACCAAGAGGTTTTTCAAGTTTCCATTTGTGGGTTCCCATCTTTTGTGAGTTCATGTCCTGTAAGAGTGAAGAATAAAAACCTGGAAGTTGAATTAAAAAAAAAACAGCATTTGAAATTTAATACAGAAAAAGAAGAAGCACTCAAAACTAATAAACATAATGTGGTGTTTACCAAAATTGTAGAACTATTTAGTCTGTTTTTTCTGAATATTTAGGAGAAAACATTTCATGGAAAGTTTATATCAGTATCAAGACAGTGCAAGTAAAGTTTGACAATGAATGTGAGTATATTCTAGTATATTAACAGAAGAATTACTAAAATGATGGCTGGACAAAACTAGAATAGTTTATAAAACCATCAACTGAGTAATGGATAAATAAGGTGGTATTTCTATATAATAGAGTACTATTCAGCTATAAAGAAAGATAAACTGGTTATTTTTAATGGGTAAATGAGTGTGCCTTGGAAACATACTAGTGAAATAAAGATGTCATATACACATAATCATTGCATTGCTTCATTAGTATGATAAGTAAAAAAAAAAAAAAAAAAAAAAAACATGTATTTTCTCCCAGAGAGAACGACTTCAGCCAAGCAATGACTCAGGCCACACCTGCCTTCACTTTAACTAACCCACCATGAGCCATTTTGGTTGACTTTTGGATGTTTTATGAAGTTTTTGATGTAGGTTTGAGATTTTTGCATGTGGATGTCCAGTTGTTCCAATATATTTAGTGAGGGTACAAACATTTCTCCACTTAACTGTTTTTGCATCTTTGCCAGAAATCAAATGTCTGTTATAGGGGTATCTATTTTGGGACTTTATATTGGTACATTGGTGTTTTATGAATCTTGATTTCAATATTTTGTGATGGTGGGTGTAACTTTGTGATAAATTGCAGGATTGGGGAGAGTTGGAGCTCTAATTTATCCAAGTTATTTTGAAAAAAAAAAGTAGTTTGGAGAAAAAAAAAGACAGTGTGAGAGAATGGGAAACAACGTGTAAATCACAATGAAAAAAAAAAGTTTTTTAGTGGGTCCAATTGTAGTTATATTGTCACTATTATAATATACATTGTGGAAGACAAATGAAGAAAACATTATTAGTGACATTTTGTGTCCAAAGATAAAACGAACTTCAATGTAGTTTAGAATGTGAATGACTGAAGTTTATAATCATAACAAATTGTTATATCTCACTTTAAAAATACAATACAAAGACTGCCATGGATATATTGGAAATTGTAGGGGATCTCCCAAGAGTACATTACAGTATAAGAAATAACAAATATATGTAAAAATTAAGAAATATGCAAAGCTTCCTTTATTTCTGTCCTCATATAAGTTATAGATAAATATTTTATATTTTCAAAAAAAACTTAATACATTTAAGTCAAAGAGTTGCATACCAAAGACCAAAAAATGTTAAATCAGTAACTTAGCCAAGAAGTAGACTATGTGTACTGGTGAGTTCTGCTGATTACACAGTAAATAGAGAACCATGTTTTCATTTCTGTGTCTAAAATTTTGTTTTGTTTTCAAGTTAAATTATATTTCTTAATTGATATTACAATTTTTATGTAATTTTTTAAAAATTTCAAATAAAAACTAAACAAAGTACTTTTTTCTAGGCATATTTTGTTTTAGACAATAATACAAATAAGACTTGTGATAAAAATATATTAATGTTGAAATGCCTTTAACAATTTAGACTAAAATACATATTTCCTTTAGTGCACTTGAAAATGTCCCCTCACTTTTAATACACTTATCTTATTGATTCTGGAAGTCCTCTTTTTATGAAATTCTCAGTTACGCTTCTGTGTCTGCCTCAATATCCAAAGTGAATTCAAAAGATTTCTTTTTGTGGTCATTTTGATTTTGGTGAAGAGTCATAGCAGCAAAATTCTAGATCTAGTGAATTATATAGATTAAACCACACTGCACTATTTTTGGTGCCTGGCATTCAACAAATTTTGAGTGTTTCTCATGAACTCTAAGAAGAAGATTTCTAGAGACACTTCAAAAGTGTCAAGAAGGATGGCATAAGTGTTTTGAAGAGGTGTAGTTTGTAGGGGATTATTTGCAATGTATCTTTGAGTCTAATAGTTTTTGTTGCTGTTTTTTTGGGTGGTTTTTTGTATAGTAATTGAACTCAGGACTTTGTGCTTGCCAGACAGGCATTTGTTTCAAAGAGCTATGTATCTCTTGCCCCTCTAAAAGTTTTTTTATTTAACATTCACCTCATATTTAGATTACACACCAAATATAATATGTACAGAAAAAGCATGCTAAAAAATTATGTTACTATGCATAAGACTATTTCTCAGTCTCTTTCATTTCATTTCCATTAATTACTTTAATGTGCCTTGTAATTTATGACTTTATCTATAAAATGACTTAATGTTAAATATGATTAACTATTTAATTAATGACAGATACAATGTATAAAAATTCCACAAGCTGATAATGGTGATTACTGGCCATAGGAACATTTGCAAAATAAACGAATTTCAAGGTAAAAACTGAAATGATGATAATTATTTTGGCAGAATATTCTGATAAACAGTGAACTTACATTGAGTTTTACACTTTTTATTTCTCTTTGTATTATTATAATATAATTTACCACAGAGGAAACATCTGTTTACAAAATCAAAATCATGTAAGTAATCAACTTCCTTTTGTGCTCAATTTCCATCCAGCTGTATCACATTATGAAAGCATTTTCATAAAGAACATGATGACTGTATCATGAATTAATCTATCTAAAACTTTCAGGCAGATTTGTTGCATTTGCTGTTATTTGAAATGGTATTCAAACTTGGACTTTGATTTGGAAAGATTTAGTATACTAAGGTATATTATTATATGATGATAAAAAGCATACATTATTTATCAAAAAGAGTAGGAATTACAATTTTTTTAAAGATTTAGATGACAAGGTTCACTAAAATATACAACAAAATATTTACCATAAAATACAATGAAGTTTGATATATTCAACTATCCAGAAATACAACTATATTCCCAGATTTTCCATTATTTTCATGTCGAACTTCATTAACTACTATCAATTTCTGTTCACCAAGAATTCTTTAAAACATTTTATCATCTACTGTAAATAGGACACTTCCTGACTGAGAAGAATTTTGCCCATATTTTAGTTCTCCTTCATAGTTTTTGTGACCAGATGATAAGAAATTAACTTGTGTTTTGTGTTGAGATGAATCTAGTTAATAGTCCTTGGCAGCCATTTTGTTAGTCAACTTTCCTTTCCTGTGAAAGATTACCTGGAAAACCTTAAAGGGAAGAATGATGGGTGATAAGGCCCTGCATTTAGGTAGAAGAAAATGGTGTTGAGCAAAACATGATGGTCAGGAGAGGGAGAAAGAGACAGAGACAGAGACAGAGACAGAGACAGAGACAGAGACAGAGAGAGAGAGAGAGAGAGAGAGAGAGAGAGAATATTTCAAAGGCATTCCTCCTATGACCTACATTTTCTCTAAGCAGATCCCACCTCCTGGTGTTTGTGTTTCTACCACTAGGACCATCATCTAGAAAATAAAGCTTCCACACATATGTTTTGAGGGTGCCATTTAAGATCTGTAAATTTCCAAACATGCAGACCACTCAGAATATTTTTAGTGAGCTTATAAATGGATATTGGCATTTATTGCAAATTCATTTATGTTATATTGTATAACTATAACCATTGTAATTTAATTTTTAAAAATCAACATCACTGGATACAATGCCATTACAAAAAGTTATATAATGCAGTAGTTTTAAAGTACCCTGCTTACTTTCATTTTCATTTATTTATTATGGATACCTACTCTTGCTCTGTATAGCTTTGTGAAGCTGATTAACTTTCCTATAGAAAAGTAATACCTGAGAGGAGGAGCTGGGCGGATCCGGAGTCCCTGCAGAAGCCCGTTCCTTTGTCTGAAGGACTGAATACTTCTGCAAGCAGGGAGGCATCGCAGCTTCCTGAGGCACCTCAGCCTGTGGTGAGTGCCCAGCACAGTCTGCCCAAATCTCAGACTGTTCCGGACCCCCCAGGCTTCTGGGTGCAGTGAAGTGGAGCAGTGGGTTAGAGGCCACTACAGCTGCCTCCCCATCCCCCCCGGCTACACTTGGAAGTCTGCTGAGCTCCTGACGGATGGGCGGGCCTACACTAACCCCTGAGCCCAGCCCCGCCTAGCCATCTGCCTGCAGAGGAGGAGCTGGGCGGATCTGGAGTGCCTGCAGAAGTCCCTTCCTTTGCCTAGAGGACTGTGGATATCTCTGCAAGCAGGGAGGGATCACAGGATCCTGAGGCACTGTGGCCTGTGGAGAGCACCCTAACCCGGCTGCAATTGAAGAGCTGTGGATCTTCCAAGGGGCAGGTGGGCGCACAGTGTCCCTGAGGCCCAGCTTGTCTGGAACTGCGGAGTTCTGAGCAGGCAGAGGAGGGACACTGGTTCTGCAGGCCCAATGGCTTGGGGTAGTGCGGTGTCAGAGGCTCAGTAGCTCCAAACATAGAAGGGAATTTTCAACAGATCCTGAGGAAGCTTTCAAATAACACTTGAAACACAGAAATATACAAAATGACAAAACGAAAGACCAAATTACAACCTCAAACCTCCAGCCCATCTCAGGAAACCCTAGGAGCAATGTATATAGAAGAAAATATATCCCATCCACCTCATATATCGGACATAATAGCTACTGAAGTTGACAAACAACTCCAGGAAGCTTTAAAGAAATTCAAACTCGAAATAATCTCCCAGATAAAAGAAGAAATGATAAAAGAAATGAAAGAGATTCTAAATATATCTAAAGAAAACACAGATAAAAAATTGGAGGAACTAAACAAAAAGATAGAATCCCTAGACGAGCAATATAAGAAACAAACAGAATACATAATGCAGATGCACAGAGATATACAGGAAATAAAAAACTCCACTGAAAGTTGTAAAAACCGCCTTAATGAAAGTGAAGATAGAATTTCAGACCTTGAAGACAGGATTGCAGCTAGTGAACAGGAAAGGAAAGATCTTTTGAAAATAACAAGGAATCAGGAAACAACAATTCAACAACTGCAAGACGATGCAAAGAAGAATAACATAAGAATGATAGGGATTAATGAAAGAGAGGGAGACAACATAAAGGATGTCAAGCGGATATTTAGAGAAGTAATAGCTGAAAATTTCCCAAGCATGAGATCAGAAACTGACATCAAGATCAGTGAAGCATATAGAACTCCAAACACTCATAACCAAAATAAAACTACACCCAGACATATAATAATCACCATCCCAGAAATCCAACACAAGAATAGATTACTAAAAGCTGTCAGAGAGAAAAGACAGATCACTTATAAAGGAAAACCTATCAGAATCACAGCAGACTTCTCAGCACAAACGATAAAGTCAAGAAGAGCATGGAGTGAAATATTCCAGATCCTAAAGCAAAATGATTTCCAACCAAGACTGATATATCCTGCAAAACTATCATTCAAAATAGATGGTGCAATACGATACTTCCATGACAAAGAACAGCTGAAGAACTTCATGAACACCAAACCGACCCTGCAAAAAATATTGAAAGACAGTTTAGATACACAAAGGAAAAAACCACTAAGCAAAGCAAATAATTAAACAGAACAGAAAGATAAAGATGCAACAGCAGAGAGATAACATTCCTACAATTAACCAGCATTTAACAGTAATAACCATTAATGTAAATGGTCTCAATGCACCAATCAAAAGAAACAGACTAGCAGAATGGATCAAGAAACAAAATCCAACCATATGCTGTTTACAGGAAACCCATCTAACCCAGAAGGATACTCACAGACTGAAAGTCAAAGGATGGAAAACAATTCTTCATGCAGCAGGAATCCAGAAAAAGGCAGGAGTAGCCATTCTGTTTGCAGACAACGTGAACTTTAAACCAACAATGACCATAAAGGACAAAGAAGGTCACTACATACTTGTAAGGGGAAAACTCCAAGAGGAAGAGATAACTATCTTAAATATATACGCACCAAACTCCAGAGCACCAAGTTATATAAAACAATTATTAACAGAAATGAAAACTCAAATTATCAGTAACACAATTGTAACAGGAGACCTTAATACGCCATTGACACCAAGGGACAGATCAACCAGACAGAAAATGAGCAAAGAAATAACAGAACTGAATCATACCTGTGAACAAATGGGTTTGATAGACATATACAGGATGTTCCACCCAACAACATCTGAATACACATTCTTCTCAGCAGTACATGGATCATTTTCTAAAATAGACCATATATTAGCTCACAGAACATATTTAAACAAGTGCAAAAGAGCTGAAATCATCCCTTGCATGTTATCGGATCATAGCGCTCTGAAATTAGAAATTAATGATAAAAGATACTGCAAAAATCCCACAAACACATGGAAACTGAATAACACACTCTTGAGTAATCAGTGGGTCACAGAGGAAATTAAAGAAGAAATCAAACAATACCTAAAAGAAAATGAAAATACAGATACAACTTACCGGAACCTGTGGGATGCAATGAAAGCCGTCCTGAGAGGAAAATTTATTGCACTGAGTTCCCACATCAGGAAAACAGAACGAATACAAATAAATAACTTGATGCTACACCTCAAACAGCTAGAAAAAGAAGAGCAAGTCAAGCCCAAAGCCAAAAGAAGAGAGGAAATTATAAAAATCAGAGCAGAAATCAATGCAATAGAGACTAAGAAAACAATCCAAAGAATCAACAAATCAAAGAGTTGGTTCTTTGAAAGAATAAATAAAATCGATAAGCCCCTAGCCAACCTTATTAAAAAAAGGGAAGAAAAAGCTCAAATTCATGCAATAAGAAATGAAAAAGGAGAAATCACTACAGACCCAATAGAAATACAGAAGATCATCAATACCTACTTCGAAAACCTCTACTCTCAAAAGTTTGATAACACAGAAGAAATAGACAGATTCTTAGAAGCATATGAAGTGCCAAAGCTAGATCAAGAGGATGTAAAACTGTTGAATAACCCAATCTCTGTTACTGAAATTGAAAATGTAATTAAGTCCTTACCCACCAAGAAGAGCCCAGGCCCAGATGGATTCACTGCAGAATTCTACAAGAAATACAAAGAAGACCTAATGCCGACACTCCTCAAACTGTTCAATGAAATTGAAAGGGAAGCAATCCTTCCTAAGTCGTTCCTGGAAGCAAATATTACTCTAGTACCAAAACCTGAGAAAGACCCAACTAAAAAAGAGAACTATAGACCGATCTCCCTAATGAACACAGATGCAAAAATCCTCAATAAAATATTGGCAAATAGGATCCAGCAAATCATCAAGAAGATTATACACCATGACCAAGTGGGATTCATCCCAGGAATGCAAGGATGGTTCAACATAGGTAAATCAATTAATGTAATCCACCATATCAATAAAGCCAAAAGTAAGAATCACATGATCATTTCTATAGATGCAGAAAAAGCCTTCGATAAGGTCCAACATTTATTCATGATAAAAACTCTACAGAAAATTGGAATAGATGGTCTTTACCTCAATATAATAAAGGCCATTTATGACAAACCAACAGCCAGCATCATTCTAAATGGCCAAAAATTGAAAGCCTTTACTTTAAAATCAGGCACAAGACAAGGATGTCCTTTATCACCACTCCTATTTAATATAGTACTGGAAGTACTAGCCAGAGCAATTAGGCAAGAAAGAGAAATAAAAGGGGTAAAGATAGGAAAAGAAGAAGTTAAGTTATCATTGTTTGCAGATGACATGATACTCTACATAGAAGACCCCCTAAACTCCATTGAAATACTCTTAGATACAATAAATAAATTCAGTAATGTGGCTGGATACAAAATCAATACTCAGAAATCAATAGCATTCCTATACATGAACAACAAAATTACAGAGAGGGAAATAAGAGAAACTGGACTATTCACATTAGCAAGCAAAAAAATGAAATATTTAGGAATTACTCTTACGAAAGAAGTGAAAGACTTATACAGTGAAAACTATAATACACTGAAAAAGGAAATTGAAGATGATCTCAGAAAATGGAAAGACATCCCTTGCTCATGGATAGGAAGAACAAACATTGTGAAGATGGCCATTCTCCCAAAACTCTTATACAGATTCAATGCAATCCCAATAGAAATACCATCAACATACCTTATAGATCTAGAGAAATCACTCCTAAATTTCATCTGGAACCAGAAGAGACCTAGAATCGCAAAGGCAATTCTAAGCAGCAAAGGCAAAGCAGGAGGCATCACAATCCCTGACTTGAAATTATACTACAAAGCAACAGTAGTAAAATCAACATGGTATTGGAATCAAAACAGAGGCGAAGATCAATGGAATAGATTAGAAGATACAACCACAACTACAAACACACTCAACCACCTTATCTTTGATAAAGGAGCCAAGCAGGTTCACTGGAAGAACGACAGTCTCTTTAATAAATGGTGCTGGAAAAACTGGCTCTCCATTTGCCGAAAACTAAAGCTAGACCCATGTCTATCACCATGTACTAAATTAAAATCTAAATGGGTCAAAGATCTGAATATTAAAACAGAAACACTAAATCTATTGGAAGACAAAGTGGGTAGAAACCTTGGAGACATAGGAGTAGGTAGAGAATTCATGAACAGGACTCAAACCGCACGGGAAACACTTCCCAGAATCAATAACTGGGACCACATCTTATTAAAAAGTTTCTGCATGTCAAAAGAAATCTCCAGCATAGTGAAAAGAAAACCCACAAACTGGGAAAAGATTTTAGTGAACTCTCTCTCAGACAAGGGACTCTTGTCTAAAACATATAAAGAATTAAAAAAACTCAGACCTCCAAAATTCAAAGATCCAATCCAAAAATGGGCATCTGAGATGAATACGAAATTCTCAGATGAAGAAATGCAAATGGCAAATAAATATATGAAAACATGCTCATCATCATTGGTCATCAGAGAAATGCAAATTAAAACCACACTGAGATTCCATCTCACTCCTGAAAGAATGGCCAGGATCAAGAAAACCAACAACAACAAATGCTGGAGAGGATGTGGGGAAAAAGGAACTCTCCTGCACTGTTGGTGGGAGTGTAGACTGGTACAGCCTTTGTGGAGGTCTGTCTGGAGGTTTCTCAAAAA